TCTCACCCAGGCAGACACACCATGGAATGCAAATGCATGCTGGGTACCAAGTGCTTTCTTGTGGTTTTGATTTTCCTAACAACCCTGGGCAGAAGCATTCCCATTTACAGATAAGGAACTTGAGGTCTGAAGTCATTCCACTTGTCCTAGGTCAGTCACAAGTAAGTGTGAAAGGTGAGATTCAAACCCTGCTTTTTAAAAAATATTTATTTATTTGAGAGGGAGCGAGAGTGGTGATCACAGAGGGAGAAGCAGAGGCTGACTCCCCACTTAGCGTGGAGCCCGAAGTGGGGCTCATCCCAGGATCCTGAGATCTTGACCTGAGCCGAAGGCAGATGCTCAACCGACTGAGACACCCAGGCGCCCCCAAGCCCTACTTTTTAAAAAAAAATATACAATATCATAAACTGTAGTCACCATGCTATATATTACACCCCCATGACTTACTCATTTTATAATAACTCAAAGTTTGTACCTTTTGACCCCTTCACCCATTTTGCCCACCCCGCCCCCATCCTCTGGCAGTCACCAATCTCTTCTCTGTATCTGCGAGCTCATGTTTTGGTCTTTTTCTTTGTTGTTCTGGCTTTTTTTAGATTCCACATATAAATGAGATCATTTGGCATTTGTCTTTGTTTCACTTCACTGAGCATAATGCCCTCAAGGACCATACATGTTGACACAAATGGCAAGATTTCCTTCTTTTCTTATGGCTCAGTAATAAAATTTATCATACACATACACACACACACACACACACTGCATTTTCTTTATCCATTCATCCACTGATGTTTCCATATCTTGGCTATTGTAAATACTGCTGCAGTGAACATAGGGGTGCATATATCTTTTTGAGTTAATGTTTTTTACAGATAAATATCCAGGAGCAGAATTGCTGAATCATACAGTGTTTTTTTTTTTAAGATCTATTTATTAAAGAGAGAGAGAAAGAGCATGAGGGGGGGCGGGGGGGGCCACAGAGGGAAAGGGAGACAAGCAGACTCCCTGCTGAGCAGGGAGCCCGATCCGGGGCTCCCATCCCAGGACCCTGAGATCATGATCTGAGCCAAAATCAAGAGTCAGAGGCTTAAGCGACTGAGCCATCCAGGCATCCCTGGATATACGTTAGTTCTATTTTTAATTTGTTGAGGAACCTCCATACTGTTTTCCACAGTGGCTGCACTAATTTACAATCCCAGCAGTGCATGAGGGTTCCCTCTTCTCCACGTCCTGGCCAACACTTGTTCTTTTTTGTCTTTTTGAGACGAGCCATTCTCACAGGTGTGAGGTGACACCTCATTATGGTTTGGATTTCCATTTCCCTGACGATTAGTGATGATGAGCATCTTTTCATGTACCTGTTGGCCATCTGTATGTCTTATTTGGAAAAAAGTATATTCAGGTCCTCTGCCCATTTTTTAATCAGATTTTTTTTGTGATTGAATTTTATGAGTTCTTTATATATTTTGGATATTAACTGCTTATCAGATATATGATTTAGAAATATTTTCTCCCGTTTGGTAAGTTGTCTTTTCATTTTGTTGATGCTTTGCTTTGCTGTGTAGCTTTTTAGTTTGCTGTCATTACATTTACTTATTTTTTGCTTTTGTTGCCTGTGTTCTTGGTGCCAAATCCAAAAAAATCATCACCAAGACTGATGTCCAGGAACTTACTGCTTGTTTTCCTCTAGGAGTTTTATGGTTTCAGGTCTTAACGTTTTTTTTTTTTTTTAAAGATATTTATTTATTTATTTATTTATTTATTTATTTATTTATTTATTTATTTATTTGACAGAGAGAGACACAGCGAGAGAGGGAACACAAGCAGGGGGAATGGGAGAGGGAGAAGCAGGCTTCCCGCTGAGCAGGGAGCCCGATGCGGGGCTCGATCCCAGGACCCTGGGATCATGACCTGAGCTGAAGGCAGTCGTTCAACCAACTGAGCCACCCAGGCACCCCAGGTCTTAGGTTCTTTAACCCATTTTGAGTTACTTCTTGTGTGTGGTGCAAGATAGTGGCCCAGTTGCATTCTTTTGAATGTGGTTGTCCAGTTTTCCCAACACCATTTATTGAAGAGACTGTCCTCTACCCACTGTATGTTCTCGGCTCCTTTGTTGTAAATTAATTAACCCTATTGCATGGGTTCATTTCTGGGCTCTCTGTTCTGTTCCATTGATCTGCATGTCTGTTTGATATTGATATCATACTGTTTTGAATACTGTACCTTGTAATACACTTTCCGAGGAAGCGTGATGCCTCCGGCTTTGTTCTTTCTTGAGATTGCTTTGACTATGTAAGGGCTTCTGTGGTTCCCTACAAATTTTAGGATTCATTTTTTTCTATTTCTGTGAAGTGCCATTGGAATTTTGGTAGAGTTGTAGATTGTTTGGGGTAGTATGGACATTTTAACAATATTCTTCCCATCCATGAGCACTAAATATCTTTACATTTATGTGTCTTCAATTTTTTTTTTCATCAATGTCTTGCAGTTTTCAGCGTACAGGTCTTTCAGCTTCTTGGTTAAAATTATTTCTAAGTGGTGTTTTTGATGCAATTGCCTGTGTAGACCCCAACACCCAGTCCCCTTCTCTGATCCGACAGTTCCAGTTCATGAGCTTTACAACAACTCAGGAGGCAAGAGGTACTGGAGAGGGGAGCAAAAACATGGTAGGACTCCTCTGGGAAAGGCTGACCTTCCAACCAAAGACAAAGCCATGCAGACTTTAGGCCTACACTAAGCCCCAAAATCCCTAGGAACACTGATTTGTCGTTTATTGCCAACCACTCCTCTGAGCTTCACACCTACAGGGGGTCTGCGTGGGACACACCCTGGCTGAATGTCAGAAGTGGCATTTAATAACCAACTCAGGCAGTGAGGCCATGCAGCTCTCTCTCAATACTTCTGATCACAGTGAGGGGTGCCTGGGTGGCTCAGTCGTTGGGCGTCTGCCTTCGGCTCGGGTCATGATCTCGGGGTCCTGGGATCGAGCCCCGCATCGGGCTCCCTGCTCAGCGGGAGGCCTGCTTCTCCCTCTCCCACTCCCCCTGCTTGTGTTCCCTCTCTCACTGTGTCTCCCTCTGTCAAATAAATAAATAAAATCTTTAAAAAATACTACTTCTGATCACAGTGAGAAACAAGTCTCACTTGATGCCAGTGTGTCTTAAACCTTTCCCTCAGGTTGGTTAATATTGCTTTCTTGAACAGAAACATCAGGCTTTAGGCCAAGTCTTTAGGGTAACACTGTAAGATTATAATTTAGTATCATTTGCCTTTTGTTTTCATTACATTTCTTTTTATATTCACTTAATTCTGTATTCAATTTTTATTCATGGTTAATGATAGCAGCATTTAATAATGTCTGGCAGGATGTTATTAGGATCAAATATAGGAGCCTGAGTTTGAGGATTAACGCACAGGGTTGGGAGTTACAGTTTGAATCATGGCTCTGCCATAGCCTTGGAAAAATCAACTTTTTGAACATCAGTTTTTCCATTGTAAAATGAAGATTTTGACTTACAAGATGCTCCTGTCCCCATAATAAGGATATAAAAATCACCATGTGTCCAGCATACCCCTAGTATGAATGGAAGGTCTAAGTATCAAAACTGAATGGCAAAACACATGAACTCAAACATCACAACAAAAATGGTTGTTTCATGGGTTTTTTAAATTTCTATTTTTGCTTTTTGTTTTTTTTTTTTTAGAAATCTCTATACCCAACATGGGGCTTGAACTCATGACCCCAATATCAAGAGTCACATGCTCTTCCGACTGAGCCAGCCAGGCAACCCCTCATGTCCTGGTTTCATTAACTAGCCACAGGCCACCTAGGTAACAGAGGTAATCTCATTCCTGTGGGGTTTTTTTTATTTTTTTAAGATTTTTTTATTTATTTGACAGAGAGAGACACAGCGAGAGAGGGAACACAAGCAGAGGGAGTGGGAGAGGGAGAAGCAGGCCTCCCGCGGAGCAGGGAGCCCGATGCGGGGCTCGATCCCAGGACCCTGGGATCATGACCTGAGCCGAAGGCAGACGCTTAACGACTGAGCCACTCAGGCGCCCCTCTCATTCCTGTTTTTAAAGTAGGATTATCACAACCTAAGTACCAGCTTTGTATACTAACCACCTATTCTATTCCATAGGATTCTGGGTTTCCAGGGTTACTGAAATATAAACAGAATCTGTGATTCCATAGATAATTCCAGATCAAAAAATCCTTTTCCCTTCCAAATCACTTTAACATCACTGTCATATGTAGGGCAAAAAGGTTGTTTTTGCAAAAATATTCTCTGTAAAATCTGTAGTCATACCACTGGCAATCTCCTGGTTTGGTATGGTTTATTGTAAAACATTACTATTTGGGGTAAGTTGGGTGAAGGGTACAGAGAGTGCCTTTGTTCTATTTTTTCCACTTTCCTCTGAAACTTTTTTTTTTTTAAAGATTCTGTTCATTTATTTGAGAGGGTGAGAGAGAGGGCACAGGAGCAGGGGCAGAGGGAGAAGCAGACCCCCACAGAGCAGGGAGCCGGATGCAGGGCTCCATCCGAAGACCCTGGGATCATGACCTGAGCAGAAGGCAGACGCCTCACCGACTAAGCCACCCAGGTACCCCTGGAACTATTTTTTACCTTTATTTCAAAATAACTAAAAATGCTACTCATGGAAATGAAAGAGGATAAACTTTTCAGCTCCAAATTTAAAATGAGTATCTGAATGGTCTTAGGAGAGCTTTGGAGTCACCTGACAAGCGTGATTAACCTTCGTCTAAAGACTACGAGGCTCAAAGAAAAAGGCTTACGTGTGTATGTTATGTGAGGCTCATTACTCACTCTGGCAGTGATAAACATTACGTGGTCTTGTCGCTTTTGCTCCCCCCAGCTCCTAGAGGAACCAAGACCTAAACCTAGACCTAGACCAAGCTAATTCTGAATTGGCTGCAGCTAACAAGGAACGAGCGGAGAGGGAGAGTGGCCGAAAAGGCTGTGAAAACCCAGGGAAAGAACACTCTGCACATAATTTATTTAAGTCACTCTGCACCTGAGGCTCGCTCACACCCGCTGCGCCCTCCCGGGCAGGCGGTCCGCCTGGGCTCGGGGCCCGATCCCGACCCAGGCCTGGGTCTCATCTGGGGACTTCCGACCGCACCAGGGAGTCGGCCTCGCTCAGGGCGAGTTTGTCCTTCTTCTCCTTCTGCAAGACCTGCTCCTCCCACAGCGCCTGGTCCACCTGATCGTCCGTGAGCACGACAGGCTTGTACTTCTCATCAAAGAGCCGCTCGTTGGTCTCGGAAAGCAGCTGATGCGGCCCGACGACGCGCAGATGGGCCGGCAGGTGTTGGAACTCCTCGTCGTTGATGTCGCAGTCGCGCATCCGGGCCGCCAGCACCCACCAGCGGCCCACGAAGCCCACGTCCAGGACCCGGCCCGGGAAGTCGACCCAGCGGGGCTGCAGGTAGCGGCAGCGGGCCTGGTAGAGGCTGGCCTCGGCGTCGACGGGCGCCTCGTACACGAGCGCGCAGAGGCCCAGGTTCGCGTGGCGGAGGCGGCCGCGCCCCCGCAGCCACAGCAGCCGCTGCACGTAGTCCTCGGAGGCGCGGCTGCGCGTGGCCGGGGCCAGCAGCAGGAGGGCTCCCGACGCGTCGAGCAGCGCCTCCTCGAAGGCCGCCTCGCTCGGCGCCAGCGCGCAGCAGGCCGCCGCGCCGCCCAGCAGCCCCGCGTACACGGCCGCCCGCCAGGGCCGCGCCCGCGCCGCCGCCGCCGCGTCCCCGCAGGCCTCGGCGTAGTCGCGGAGCAGCACGCGGGCCCAGGAAGCTGAGGGAGAGAAGCAGAACGAACAGGTGAGAGCAGGCCGCTGCGGCCACCCCCCGCCCCCTCCCGCCGCTACTCACCCAACCGCGTCCACACGCCCGGCTTCGCGGCCGCTGGGACACCAGGCTCCTCACGGTTTCGGGACCAAAATCTCTTCAGAGCGGCCGTCGCCATTCTCTTCCGGCTTGGCGTCCCTCTTCCGAAGAGAAACGCCGGGTATGCGAAGAAAAAGGCCCGGGGCCTTCATGCGCAAGCGGCAACAGGGCCGGAAGTGGCTTCCCATCGGAAGAGGATCGAAAACGGACCGGTGCCGGATGTTGCTGTCCGTTCTGAGCGGGGTCGGCTGTGGCGGGGAGGCGGGCCGCGCAGGCGCAGAGGCCCTGGGCCACGCCGGCTGAGGAGCCTCAGGTGAGGGGGGGCGGGGTGCATCTGTGGGGCTGGGGCCGGGGCGGGGGCGGCGAGCTCACCCCCGGCTCGGTGCCGGTGGTGTGCATTCAGCTCGGGAAGAAAGCCAGGCGGGGCTCGGGGCTGAGGGAGAGGCCTCGGGAGGGGCACCGAGTAGGGTTGGGGGCGGGCGTCATTGGCCTCTGTCCTCAGAGCGGGATGCGGTGACGCCCCTGAGCGACCATGGCGGCGGCCGACGAGCTGGCCTTCCACGGTGAGTGCGGCGGCGACGCGGCCCGAGCTCCTCCTGCCTCCGCCGGGCGGAACCTCCCGCCCAGGTTCCTGCTGACCGCCAGCCTGAATCCCGGTCAGCTATGAGCACTAACCCCGACCCAGGCACGGTAGCCGCCTCGGACTCGAACCCCGCGCCCAGCCTGAGCTCCTATCTCCGAGTAGAGCCTCTGTCCCAGACCTGACCCCCTCCCAGAACCAGCCTTAAATCGCAGGCCCTTGCAAGGAGTGGGGGAGCACACCTTCCAGCTGCTCAGAATTTAGGAAGCTGGGCCCTTCAGTGGCCCCAGTTGGAGTCTTGGCCCCCACATGAGGCGTGGGTGAAACCACATTGTCCTGACTGCCCAAACATGCGTGTGTCCCATATTCCTTCTCGATAGAGTTCGAGGAAGCTTCTAATCTGCTGGCCGAGACCCCAGATGCGGCCACGGCCAGTGGAAGCGATCAGCTGACCCCGCAAGGGCACGTGGCAGTGGTGGTGGACTCGGGTGGCAGCTATGGGGCTGAGGAGGAGGCCGAGGAGAGTGACAGGACAGCGGTGAGTCCGCGGTGGCCCTGCCTGCCCCCAGCCCTGCGCCCACCCTCTGCCCAGGCTGTAAGGGCAGCCACCGAAAGCCCATGTTGTGCAGCTTCTGCAGGAGGAGAAGCAGCAGCCGGGATTCTGGACCTTTGGCTACTATCAGAGTTTCTTTGACGTGGACACATCCCAGGTCAGGCCCGGGAAGCTGGTGGGAAAGGGTTTGCAGTCACACGGGGCTCCAGCCACTATCACTGAGCCCTTCCTGGGCACTGGAGTGCTAGTGATACCCGGGGGGACACGAGTTCCCACGCAGGCTGGTCAGACTAACTGTGGTGCGCAGTCAGGACTGTGGCGTGACCGGGGCTCGTGGGAACACAGACACACGTGCTCAGGCAGGTGAGAGAAGGGCCTCCTGGAGGAGGTGAGGAGTGTGCCGAGATGGAAAGGAGAGGGAAGCCTCAGCTGGGCAGAGTGAAGGGAAGCACGTGTTACAGGCACAGGGAACAGCAGATGCGGAGGGCTGAGAACTGTCACAGGAACTACCTGTCATTTGATCTGGTTGGAGAGGGTGAGGCGGGGGACAGGCGGGCAGAAGCCAGACCACAAAGGCCTCGTGTGCTGTGCTAAGGAGTTTGGGTTTTATCCTGAGGGTGCTGGGAAGCCATAGACGGGTTTAGAGCCGGAGAGGAATGAGTGGAATTAGCGGATGTGGTACAAGGACTGTGGAGCAGAGGCGCCAGGCCAGGGAGGGAAATAATAAACCTGGGGTGCAGAACGGGACATAGTGGAGAGAGATGTAGGCAGGAGGATGCCAAGGACTTGCCTGTCCCCCACCTCATAGTCCAGACATGTCACAGCATGACAGGCTGTTCAGGGCAGCCAAGCCAAGAGAAGGGAGAAGCAAAGAGAAAGATGACCGGCCCGAAAGAGTCCTTCAGAATGGCAGCACACTGGGGTATTGAGACTGGCCAGGGGAAGGGGCTCCAGCCCATCAAGAACCTAGAGGGAACATCTGAGCCCTTGTAGGCAGAGGAGATGGGAGGTCAGCAAGGAAGAAGCCTCTAAGGGCAGGGCAGGAGGTTGGCCCTTTCCTCTGTGGGGGCTAAGGGGCCCCGTGCAGGCTTCCCTTCTGGGCCCCACCTTGTCTCCAGGTCCTGGACCGAATCCGAGGCTCACTGCTGCCCCGGCCTGGCCACAACTTTGTGCGGCACCATCTGCGGAATCGGCCGGACCTGTATGGTGAGTGGTGGTGTGCATTCAGCTCAAGAATTCACTTAGCACATGTGGACCCAGTGCCGGTCTGTGGATTCCAGCTGAGAAGAAAGCAGGGGCACTCCCAGAGAGCGGGAAATGCACATTCTGTCTGGGGAGACAGCTACATAAAGGGCTGCTGAGGGCCACAGGGCTCAGAAGAAAAGCAAACAGCTTAGAGGATGTGAGTTGCCACTTTGCATGGGTTGGACAGGGAAGGTCCCCGTGAGGATGAGAGAACAGGCCTTTTGGTGGTGTGGATGGCGGTGAGGAGACCTAGGGGAAGAACATTCCAGAAGGGGGCACAGGTCCAGTGGTGGGGCAGTATTGTCATTGGAGTAGTGAGCTGCACGAGGTCACAGAGGTGACAGGAGAGACTGCGCCGGCCTTGTAGGCCTCAGTGAGAAGGACTCTTAGTTAAGGGCTCTGAGGCTTCCTCTGGCAGGTGTGGGGGGGTGGGGCCCAGCCCCAGGTGGGGAGCAGCGGTTGGACTGTGGACTAGGTCTCAGAGGTGGAGCTGACCCGTCAGAGGTGGGGTGGGAGGAGAGAGGCGAGGGTGGCTCCGGGGTTTTCATGGGGACCGCGAGAAGGATGGAACTGTCATTTATTGACTGGAAAAGGCTGGGCGGGTTTGAGGGGAGAGCATGAGGGTGGAGTTGGAGAGGCCTAGCTGTGCACGTGGAAATGTTGACTATAAGCTTGTGGTTCAGGGCACAGACCGGATTTGAGATACTTGGGAGACATCAGGCTAGAGGTGACATAAAGTCCTGGTGCTGGACAAGATCGTGGGGGCTGAACAGATGAAGAGGATAGCTAAGGATTGTGCCCTACAGCCTCCTCATTAAAGAGTCAGGGAGTAACAGAGCTTGAGGAATTGCCAGGGAGGTGACGTGGCAGAAGCTAGGAGCATGAAGTCCTAGAAAGCATAGGGGGAGTGTTTCCCGGAGAGAGCGATCAGCTACAGCAAAGGCTATCGAAAGGTCAGGAAGGCTGAGGGACTGAGAGCCAGCGCTGGATTCAGCCACCCCAGGTCATCACTGGCGATGTGGGGAAGGGTAAGGTGGGGGGTGGAGGTAGCTTGGAGCTTAGAAAGAGGCTCGGGGCCCAGCACGGTTGGGATGGGACAGGTCATCTGTCCTGGGAGCCCTGGGTTCCTCACCACGCCCTGCCTGCAGGCCCCTTCTGGATCTGTGCCACGCTGGCTTTCGTCTTGGCCGTCACTGGCAACCTGACCCTGGTGCTGGCCCAGAGGAGAGACCCCTCCATCCACTACAGCCCCCAGTTCCACAAGGGTAAGTGAAGTGGGCAAGGCCCCGGCCCTGCCCGAGCTGGGAGTGCCGCGGAGCCCCGGGGGTGACGGCCCGCCTCGCCCCCCGCCCCACAGTGACCGTGGCCGGCGTCACCATCTACTGCTACGTTTGGCTGGTGCCGCTGGCGCTGTGGGGCTTCCTGCGGTGGCGGAAGGGGGTCCGGGAGCGCCTGGGGCCTTACACCTTCCTGGAGACCGTGTGCGTCTATGGCTACTCCCTCTTCGTCTTCATCCCCACCGTGGTGAGTGTGGCCCCGGGCGGGGGCGGGGCGGGGGGGCGACAGGTGCCGCGCGGAGGGCCTGGGAGCCAGCTGCCCGTGTCGCCCCCAGGTCCTGTGGCTCATCCCCGTCCCGTGGCTGCAGTGGCTCTTTGGGGCCCTGGCCCTGGCCCTGTCGGCTGCTTCCCTGGTGTTCACCCTCTGGCCGGTCGTCCGAGAGGACACCAGGTTGGTGGCCGCGGTGCTGCTCTCGACTGTCGTGCTACTCCACGCCCTCCTGGCAGTGGGCTGCAAGGTACCAGCGGTCAGGGCTGGGCCTCGGGGTTGGGGGGGGTCACTGACCCCCACCAACACTGACCCCAAGGGCTTTGGTTCAGTTCTACTTCTTCCGGCCGCTGCCTCTGGAGCACCTGGCGCCTCCGCTCCAGGCCTCGTCTCTGCCCCCAAAGCTGCTGCCGCCGCCCACCCCAAGGGCCAAGGCAACCTAGAAGGCCCGAGCCCGCAGGTGAGGGGCTGCTCCTGCCTTTCCCCCCCGAGGCGAGGAGCCACAGGGCCGCTCCCAGGAGTCTCTCTCTTTCAGGCCCACCATGAGGGGACACCTCGGCCTGCCCTGCCCCTCGGACGATGACTGAAGGCTCCCTTGACACCTCGAGACCACTCTGCTACTTTCCAGACTTTTCTTACAAAGCAAACACTTTTATTTTCTATGCAAAGATGATTCCGAGAATTTATATAAAGGTGGGAAAGGGGCAGCTGAGCAGGGAGCCTCCGCGGTGGCTGTCGCCCCCCCCCCCCCCCGGCTCCCTGCCAGGCCTTCTGCTTTCCCTGATGGGACGGTCGGGAGAGCAGAGGGGGTCACCCCAGCCTCAACTGGGCCTGCTCCTCCTGGGTGCCCACGGAGCAGGTCCCGGGGCCTAGCTTGAGCTCCACCACATCCGTGTTCGGAGGTGTTAGAAAATGGGGGGCAGGGGGAGAAGTAGAAGAACATTGCCTCTGCTGAAACATACATTTCCTTGTTTATTTGTTTTGGGGGGGGGCGGAGGTCCCTGCAAGGCCCCTTCCCAGGCTGGGGAGGGACCAAATGCCATCATAGTAACAGGGACTGGAGCGTCTACAAATGTTGAGGGAAACACACAGGCCTAATGTGAGCTACAAGGAGAAAGGACGCCTTCCACGATGGATCCTTGAGGTTTCTCATGTCTGCCCCAAGCGGCTGACAGTGCCCCTTCCCTCCAGGCCTGGGGCCCGTGGGGCCACCTGTTCTAACTCTTGGCAGGGGTGGGGGAGGGGACCTGCAGGGGCTCAGGGACAGGACAGCAGCAAGAGGCAGGGGCCGAGGACGGAGGGCCTTCCCGACAGCCGGGGTGGGTTGTACATTCAAGTGTGAGGTGAACCCTTTGGTGGGAGGGGGCCTCGGGTCTCCAGAGGCCTGGCCCCACCCCTGTCCTGAAGACTCGGCAGGGCTGCCCCTCACCACTGAGCCTCTGAGTGGGGGGAGAGGGGCTGCTGGCTCGGCCCGGCCGGCCTGGTTTTCTCAGAGGGTCTGTGGATTGACACTGGTTCTTCTCGTAAAAAAATAAAATTAAAAAAAGCAGCATGTCACGCCCATTGTGACCAAGGCCTGGTAGTTGAAGGGAAGGCCCCGCCCAGTCAGGCCTGCCTTCCCCACTGGAGACAGGCGGGGGAGGGGGGCAGGCGCCAAGGGACCAGGTGGGTGGTAGCTACTCCCCCCACCCGCCCCTCCCCGCCGGGCCTGCAGCTGTCAGGCCTGGACACGCCTGTTACAGAAGATGTCAAACCCAGGTCAGGGGGAGGGCAGGAGGGGAAAACGGCTCCCACGACAGGATCTTGTGTAAAATCTGGCAGCGACACACGCTCAGGGCCAAGATGCGGGTGGGCGGTGGAGTGGGGGCGGCGGCGGCAACGTTGTGTAAAAAAGTGTCCAAGTTCCCATAGCAAAGAGGGCCGTGACCGGGTGTTTGGGCTTCTCCGGCCCAGGGGGGAAAGCCGCCCAGGCGGGGGTGGGGGGTGGGCAGGGTCTTCATTTGGTTTCCTGGTGCTGTCAGTCTGTTGCGCGCCAGAGGGGCCTAGCTCCCATAGTGCATGGTGTTGGTCGGGATGGACATGGGGGAGGCCATGGAGATGGCGGGGCCGCCCATGGTGAACTGGCTGTTGACTGCGTAGTGGGCGCTGGAGCCGCCGCCACCGCTGCCCTGGGCGCCCGACGACCCTGTGGGGGGAGGGGGGATGGCACGGGCACTGAGGGGCCGGCCCTGCGCCCCCCGCCCGCCCAGACCCGCGGCAGAGGCAGAGAGCGCGAGCGAGCAGGCGAGAGGGCGGGCGGGCGGGCGGGCGGGCGGCCCGGGGGTCCGCACACTCACGGCCGCGGGCCCCCGCTCCCACGGCCCACCATTACCTTGGACAATCCCCGTGCTCATTATGGAGCCCATCCGGGAGTGGGTGTGATTGACAATCCCCGTGTTGGCTGCGCAGCAAGAGGGAGGGAGGAAGGAAGGGAGACGCGTCACCGCCCCCAGCCCGGCCCAGGCGCTCGCCCCGGGGGTGGGGAGGGTGGGCGCAGCGGCTGCACAGTGAGACAGACAGGAGCGGCAGGGCCTCCGCTGGGGGCCCCGCAAGAGGAGACCGCGGCACAGAAAGCCCAAGCCCTGGAGAGCCGTGGCCGCCCACGCGCCCCTCCCGGACCGCAGGGGACGCTCACCTAAAGGAATCAGGTTGTTGTGGCCCACGCTGGAGCCGCCGGCGATAACACTGCTCAGGTCGTAGGCGGTCGGCATCCCTGTGTGCAGAGGGGGCCAGGTCAGGGCGTGGGAGACCGCGTCCTCCGGGGCACAAGAGCCCCGGCGGGGGGCCCCCCGGGAGCGCCCTGGCCCCAGCCACACGGGGGCCACTCACCGGCCACAGCCATCCCACTGCTGAGGTTGTAGGTGCTGCCCGTGTTCCACATGTTCTCCGACGGGGACGTGTAGTGGGAGCCGGGCGGGGGCGACGGCGTCGTGCCTGTGTATCTGCAGCACAGACCGACCGACCAGTGGGCAGGGCTGAGAGGCTGCGGGTCAGGAGGGGCACCCCCCCCCCCCCCCACTTCAGGCTGCGGGCTCATAATACCTGAAGAAGGGGTTTTTCAGATCCAGGAGGTTACTGGATTTAGAGCCCGTCTGGTCTACCTGGGCCACAATACTGATGTCATAGCTCTGTCTGCAGAGAGGGGAGGGGAGGACGGCCATGAGCTGGCTGCGGAGACAGACCCCTGCCTCCCCCAGCCCCAGGTGGCAGCTCACACCTTTTGTTGGCAATAAGCAGACATGTCCCTGAGAGCGTGTCCCCGGCCTTGGCGAACAGTGGTGACTGGAACAGGCAGCGGACCTGGTACCAGTGGGTCAGGGGCTCTGTCGGGGCTGTGGATAGCCACACTGTCATTCTGCCAAGCAAGGACAGGCACACGTTTGATCAGGCTGCAGCCACCACCCTGTGCACCTTGAGCTCTCCCCAGCCATCTCTGATGGGTCCCCTGGGGCCCTGGAGCTGAGACAGGCTGGCTGCCCAGGCGTCCCAGGCACACGCATGTGCACGCGCGCGCATGCACATACACACAGATCCACAGCCGTGAGGGGCCCACTCACTTGACCTCTGTGCCGAGAGACAGAGACCAGGTCCCATGAGGGACTGTCACTGAGAACAGAATAGACACCCCCTCCCACAACAGTCTCTGGCTCAAAGGGGGAGCTCTCACTGCTTTTGGAGGGGGGACAGGGAGCCTAGAGGAGTCCTGTCCTGTCCTGCCAGCCCCCAGCCAGGCCTGGGGGTCACAACTGCAGGGAAGCCCCTGAGACCGGGGCAGGGAGGAGCACACAGCATGCTTTGCACTGTTGCACTCACATGGAGCCGATGAAGGCGACATCAAACCAGAAAGCCAGACCGTGAACTAGCCCGGAATGCAGCATGTGGAATTTGAATGGGATTTCTATCCTGGAAGGCAAAGGGCAGTGATTGCTGGGGAAGCCAAACAGGGACTGCCAGGGGAGAAGAGGGGTGGCTGGGTGCAGTGTCCCGGGGCCCCTGCCTGCCCGCCTTGGGGCAGAAGGCCTGGGGGAGTCTGTGCTGGCCCCAGACCCCAGCAGGAGCCAGGCTTAGCAGGAGGGGCATGGGTGCTGGTACCTGTGCAAATCTCCTTCTTTGGCTTCTAAGAAGTTCACTGTGTACTTGACAGACTTGGCCATCAGGATCCGGATGTCAAATGTGTCCTGGGAGAGACCACAGTGTGACTTGGCTTCAGGCACAGAGGCCAGCTAGGAAGGGGAGAGCTCTTCTCTCCTGTCTGGCCATGGCTATGAGGCCATTTGGCTAAAACCAGTTTGCCATTCTCAGACATGCTGGGGGGAGGACGAAGTGGTTCGCCACCATGGAGGCCAATTCGGTGACGGCTCTCAATCATTCATAGCATTAGAGACGTGGCAGTTCCTCTCCTGGGAGTTTAACCTGTACATATATGTGCACGTATACAAGCTCACACCCGTTAATTAGACATACTCTGGAAACCCTGTAATTAAACCACCAATGTCCCATCCGTAAAAGACTGAGAAAGAACGAAGAGGGGGGAAGGATCTCTGAGATGTAAACAAGTTAAAAAGCAAGTTGGAGAACTGTGTGCTGACGTCCACACCCAGCTATGACGGAGGCTTTATATCAGACTAACACTCTGTGAAGAACTGCATGAGCCGAATAAAATACAAAGGAAAAAAAAAGCCTAGTTTGAAAGTACTGGAGAGTAATAAGAGCAGCCTCAGCTTTGGGAGCCAAGATTCTAGAGAGATGTTTTTTCGCCTCTGCCTTTCCCCTTGGGGCAGGACCTTCTGGCGGCCTCCCTGGATGGGGAAAGCAAAATGGGGGCTCAGGTCACCAAGGCAGCTAGGATTCAAGAGATCAAGAAACAGGGCGCCTGGGTGGCTCAGATGGTTAAGCATCTGCCTTCGGCTCAGGTCATGATCCCAGGGTCCTGGGATCGAGTCCCACATCGGGCTCCCTGCTCCTTGGGAGCGTTTCTCCCTCTGCTTCTCTCTCTCTCTCTGTCTCTGTCTCTTGTGAATAAATAAATAAAATCTTTAAAAAAAAAAAAAGTGTTTATAAAAAAAAAAAGAGATCAAGAAACAAAACAAAAGGAAAATAGAGAAACATGAAGTGGATGTTCTGCATGCAATTTCACTCTGTGGCATGCACCAATTCCTGAGCTGCATGTGAGGTGGGGCTGAGAAGCAAAGGAATCAAGCAGAAAGCCACTTATAAGACACTGAAAAACCAAGGAAAGGTTCAGCTGGGCATTGGTGCTGGGAGGCTAGGAGAGGAGCCCCGTGAAGCACCCACCAGGCTTGCACTGAGACCACTGAAGGCTAGGACCTAAAGCAGCAGTTCCCAAAATGTCCCTTTCAGAGTACTCTCAAGGTCAAAACTATTTTCATATAATACTAAGATGTTTTCTGCCTTTTTCTTTGGCTCACTCACCTGTGATTGCACAACCTATTGAACACAGAAGCAGAATCCAACTGTCTTCTATTAAGCCAGACATTAAAGAGATTTGCAAATTAAAAATGCCAACTGTGGGGCACCTGGGTGGCTCAGCCGGTTAAGCATCTGCCTTCAGCTCAGGCCATGATCCCTCCATTCTGGGATCAAGCCCCACATTGGGCTCCCTGCTCAGTGGGGGGTCTGCTTCTCCCTCTCCTCCCTGCTCATGCTCTCCTTGCTATCTCTGTCTCTCTCAAATAAATAAATGAAAATCTTTTAAAAAAAATGCCAACTGTTCTCACTGAAAAGTTTTGGAAAATCGCTTTTTTCTTAAAAATACTACTTATGTTAATATTTAATGGGCTTGTTATTTTAAAATAAATATTTTTTAATTTCTTGGGCTTAATTTTTTTTTTTAAGTAGGCTCCACACCCAACATGGAGCCCAATGCAGGGCTTGAACTCACGATCCTGAGATCAAGACCTTAGGTGAGATCAAGAGTCGGATGCTCAACTGACTGAGGGCTTAATTTTTAATACCAAGAGTTACTGACAGTATATCAATAGCTAAAACACTAACAAAAGCTCTTTCTCCATTTTTAAGAATGTAAACAGATCACCTGAGACCAAAATGCTTAAAAACCACTGCCTTACAGGGAAGCCAAGAAATAGCCCAGCAAAATCAAGTCTGAAAAGCAGCCTCTAAATATGTCAAATGCCTGATAGGACCAAGGTGATCTATCTATATGGCTAATTGCCTGAAGAAAAGCAAATCCTTGAGAGGAAAATCCATATTTCATTCTGGCATCCAATAACCAGGTATACTAACAGACAGAACCAAAGGATGAGAACCAAAAACTAAGAGAGTAAATAAAAAATAGAAATACACTTAACACTTACCTACATGCTAAAAGTGACCAGAAACTTACAGTATGTATGAGAAAAAAAAAAAGGTAGAAAAAATGAAGAATTTCAGAGAACTGAAATAAGAAATAAGCAAAATGAGATCCTAGAACTGAAATTAAGAATTAGAAAACCAGCTTAAACAGCAAAGAGAAGACGAACTGGAAGATGGATCAGTAGGAAATATGAAAATGAAGCAATTAGAGACAAAAGGATGGAAAATGCAGAAAAGAGTGTAAGAATCATCTAAGACAAAAGGTCCTAGGAGGAGAAAGAGAATGGGGCAGAGGTAGTGTTTAAAGAGACAGTGCCCAAGAGTCTCCCCAAAACTAGTGAAAAACATCAAGTGGGGGAAAACAATATACCTTAACAAAACAAAAGACAACAAAACAATTCAAAAGAAACAACATTCAGAATAAATTTTTAAAAAAAAGATGACAAACTTTACCCATAAAGACCAGTAATTACATCAAATGTAAAATGGTCTCAATGTTGTAATTAAAAGACCAAAAAATGTCACTCTGGTTAAAGAACAAATCCCAAATATATGCTACTTACATGAAACAAACCTTAAGTAATAAGGACACAGAAAGGTTGAAAGTAGAAAGATGGAAAAACATATATTGTACAAAGATTAACCAAAAGAAAGCCAGAGTACCTGAACTACTAGCAGGAAAAAAAAAAAAAAAAAGTGGCGGGGGGGGAGGGGAGAATGACTTTAGGGCAACTAGTACTACTTGAGAACACTTTTTGTAATGACAAAAGGATCAATCCAAGAGGAAGAAACAATAATCCTAAACCTGTATGCACCTAATAACACAGCACCAAAATATATAAGGCAAAAACTCAGGAATGGGAAATCTACAATCAGTGATAGGAAAAAGCAGAACCTCCCCACCACCACCACCCAAAACATGAGGAGATAGACAAGATTTGACTGACATGATTAACTAACATGACCTGACACTATAACATTGTACTCAACAAGTGATAAATATACGTTTTTCTCAAGTACACACAGAACGTTAACCAAAAGAGATCACTTAAGTGGGCATAAAGCAACTGTCAACAAATCTCCAAGGACTGAAATCATACAGTGTATGTTCTCTGATCATAGAAAGAAAAAGAATATGTTGATTATGCTGTATTTTGAGAGGAAAAAAGGTTATATACATATGGATATATTTGTGTGTGTGTGTGTGTGTGTACTTGTATATGCACATTTAGGTATAAAACTTCTGAAAAGATATACAGAAAATACTGTTTGCCTATAGGCTTTTCAGTTTTACATTTTTTTTTATTTTTGAACCATGGGTATCAGTTCAAAAATCTCAAAATCAATCAAAATCAGTTCACCAAGGATCAATCTAATAGCAGTTGCATGTACTGCATGCTTACTATGTATTAAAGCACTCTACATGCATTGCCACTTTATTCCCAACATCCCTATATAAGAGTTCTGTTTAGCAGCCAAAGCAAGAACTCAGTGGGGACAGTGGCTTTCCTAGGGCTGCACAGTTTGCACAAGGCCTGACACGAAAGACCATGTCCCCCCTCTTGTCACCCCGGAGGAGGGCCATGCCCAGTACTAACTGCAATAGTGCCTTGGGTGCCCCACTCACCACCACAGGCTGCCGGAAATACTCGTCCACTGCAGCACCTCGGAGGGCTGACAGGTCCACTCCATGGAAGGATGGCTGGTACCTGCAGAAAGCCCCCATCCCCCACAGCAAGGTCACCAGCAGCAGGAGAGACAGGTGGAGCAGGCTGCCTTTTCTCCCAGCTGGCCCTCATCCAGCCCAAGTCTTTCAGGTCCTACTGAGGATGAGGAGAAAAAGAGAAGCGGGCTGTCCCTGAGAAGGCAGGACACCCAGGTCACACTCACCAGAAGTTGGCCTTGGTGAACTGCTCCATGTAGAGCTGTTCATCCGTGAAGGGTGCAAGATGGACGTCACCAATGGTGGGGAACATGTTTCCTGGGAGCGGGGGGCAGGGAGGGGTGCTGGCGTCAGGGTGGAACATCCCAAAGGGCCTGGCAGAGTTTCCAAATGGCCCCAGGACCCCCAAGCCTGGGACTTCCCAGCCTCTCTTTCATTCATTTGTGCATTCGTGCAACACAGGTATGGAGCACCTTCTCTGCCACCGGCCAAAATGAACACTTGACACGCACTGACTCATTAAACTTGGACAGCCAGCCAGGGAGGCAGGAAGGCCTGTCCTTCTGTTCCATTACTGGGGCTGGGACATGGGAAGGCACCTGCCAAAGCCTCAGGGGTAAGCAAGTGGTGCGTGGGGTGCAGCCAGGCCCCAGGTCCTTGCTCAGTCAGCCAGGCAGTGTCTCTCAGGTGCTGTTGTCCAGGGACAGATGTGCAGCCAGGGAAAGTGAAGCCAAGCTCTCTGGACGGAGCAAAGGCGAGCCCTTGGCTACACTGTCAGGGCCTCAGATGAGGCCAGAGGCTGGGTCGGGGGAGGGGAGTTAGCTGAATCCCAAGCTCTGGCAAACAGGGTGGGCCACTGGGCTGCCCTGGTCTGGCACATGGCCTGAAATGGGAAGGGGCGGGAGGGCAGGATCCTCTCTCGTCGTGATTCAATGAATAGACTGACGGGTCTGAGCCAGCGGCAGAGAGCGCCAGGGCTCAGGAGGCCCCACCCACCTCGGGAAGTCCAGGGCCCCAGGTCACCTGGTCTCCAGATGTGGGCCTCCCTCCCTCCTTCTATGCAGGAGAGGGGGGCCCTGAGGCAGGAATCTGCCTACTCTTCAATCCCGCAAAGGGCATCCGGAGATGGAAGGAAGACGCGTGCGCAGGCCGGGGGCAGGAGGGCAGTGCTGGCCCCGAGCCTCATCTTGGGCAGGCTGCCTGACAACCGCGTGGGTGTGCAGCTGCCACCAGAGCCGGCCCCCCCTCGGTGCTGACGTCCACTAAGGAGGAGCCCCCCTCCCCGCCAGCTTAGCCTACCTCCAGGATGGAAAGGGAGGAGAGCGGGTCCGGGACAACCCCCCCAGGTGGCCTGGCTTCCCGCGCTCACACCCGTGACATGGGCCACAGCTGCGGAAAGTGCAGGCCACATCCTGCCTGCAGTCCCTGCAGCCCAGATCCAGGGAGGCCAGAGGACCAAAGTGGGTGCTTCCCCACCGAACCGCCCGTCCCCTGGTCCCCATGGGGCCTGCCAGCCCACTAGCTTCATATGTTCTGCCCTGGCCAGGGTCCTCCTAGGCCACGTGCACGCCTGTGCGCGCACGCGCACACACACACACAACCCCTTGCTTGTACAGAAATACTTGAGACACATACGCAAACCCCAAACCAAGCCCAGAAATGGGACACACCAGCAGATGTTCCAGGCCCCTGTGCACAGACCCCCAGTGACCCAGATAAGTAGCTCTGAACAGCCAATGACCCACGTGCGTGGAGGGGCAGGCACAGAGACACAGACAGGAGGCCACAGAAGGCACAGCTTCCCAACACAGACCGCTGCTCCCTGATACTCGAGAACCCCCCCCAGCCCGCCCTCATACACACAGACGAACTCCTCTGTCCCCCCGGCTAGGGAACGGGGGGCGGGGGCGCCACCCGGGGGCCTGTCAAGCTAGGATGAGGTCTGTATGCCAGGAATGAGGACAGAAGGCAGACTCCCCGGGAAGGCGCCCGCCACAGAATACCTTCTGCACCGACCACAACCGCCATCCCCGGCTAGCCACTGTCCCCGCAACACCAGGGCACGAGATGGCAGAGGCAGCCTGGAGGCTCTCTGGGGACCGGAGGGGAACCCCCCCCCATACTCGGGCCGGGCCGGGCCGGTGATGTCTGGCCCAGGACTCTTGAAGTCAGCTGGGGTGGGGTGGGGCTCGGGGGTAAAGGCCTAGATGCCCCCCAGGCTGCCAAGAGAGGCCAGCAGGGAACAGAACCACAATCGTACCGACCCAGCAACAGCCAGTGGCTCTGCAATGGGACCCCGACATGGCCGCCGCCCGCACCAGCAGGAACACTCACCCCCGGGCCTCAGGTACTTCTTGGCATGGAGGTAGCTCTCGAGCATGCGCTCATTGAAGAGCATGTAGCCCATGGGCTCCGAGATGATGATGTCCACCTGCTCAGGGAGCGAGACTTCCTCCACCTTCCCGGGGATGACGACGATGCGCTCAGTGAGATTGTTACTCTTCACCAAGACCTGCAGGCGGGTGGGGGTTCCAGAGGCGTCACGGGGACCCCTGCACCCAGCCACACCATGGGTCATCACCAGATCCCTCCTCTCAGGGGACGGCTTCGACCCACGCACGGCCGCCAATCCCCTGCCTCCCCAGTTGGCATCCTAACCACGGCCATTATCAGCCACGGCCTGTCACGAGCTCACTGCAGCCCCAGCCCTCTCTCGGAGCCTTTCCTGCTGCAGCTCCCCGGTCCCCTGAGGTCACCTCTACCCTTCGAGGACAACAGCGGATGGGAACACACAGGACGAGCAGGCTTTGCTACAGCCACCAAAGCTAAACTTGGACGCACCGTCCAACCCAGCGATTCCAGTGCTAAGAACGTGTCCTACAGACGCGACTGCACGGGGGAGAGGGAACACGTGTGTCAGGGATTCGGCGCAGGAGGTGTTTGTACTGCAAAGACCACAAAGTGGCCCAAAGGTCGAGGGCTGCCTAATGGCATCTAAACAAACAACGGTGCCCCCCCACCCTGGGGCAAAGGGATGCTCTGCAGCCACTCGCGAGGGGGAGGAAGCTCTTTCTGTGGGGACACAGACCATCCCAGACAGGCTATTCAGGGAGCAGAGCACTGTGTGTGCTGGGCTGTGTCAGAGGAAGACATAGGCCGGCGCTCGGAGGCCGGGACAGCCCAGGAGAGCTTCCACACGATCTCTCCGGCTCCTGCACGGCGGGCTGGGCGGCTGGGAGCCAGGGTGGGGGCGGGGGCAGGGGGAGTATCTGTAGTTTACCCTTTGCGGCTTTTAGGTTCTGAACCTTGTGAATAAAGGTTTCAGTGCAGGAAAAGGGAAAAAGAAAATGAAACCCTGTTGTTGCCCACATTCCACAAACGTAGGAGGTGGGGCTCAGGGGGGAGCCACTCGCCTGGACAATCCACTCCCTGAAACAAGAGGCTGTCCAGCCTCTGAAGACACCAGACGGGCCCCGACCCCATCGTGGAGGACACACCACCTCAGGTCCAGCCCAGCCCTCCCTCGATCAGTAGGTTCTGGACACAAGAGACCAAAATAGAGAAGCAGCATGCCCGGGCCCCCTGGATCCGGGGGTCAGGTCCCCCAGCAGAGCTGGCTTCCTGGGCTGGAAAAGGCACAGAGCTCGAGGACGAGGACAGGCTGGGGTCCTTGTGGGCTGCTGACCTCTGCGTGCTGGGCCATGGTGCTGGCCTCCACCGCGTAGATCTTCCTCGCTCCAGCTTGGGCGGCAAAAAATGAGAGGATCCCAGAGCCGCAGCCGACGTCAAGAACGATCTGGAGTAGGAGGGGGCAGTGAAAACAAGGCACTAGTGAAGTGATGGTGATCGTAAGGGATGAGCCTGTCCGGGCCGCTCCCTCCGCCAGAGCCTCCTGCCGAGTGTGCTCTGGGCCGCGCAGCCCACTTCCCTGCAACCGAGGCTGACTGGGCCCAAGGCTGGTTTCTGAGAGCCAACCGGAGCGCGTGGGAGCCCCTAGTTTAGATCCGAGGGTGACAGGCTGGGATTTCTGAAGACCGCTAGGCTGTTAAGACCACGACACTTTCAGGCCAGATTCAAAAAGGAAGGGTTTGGGCTGTGATCGGTCTACGCAGCACGGCGGACACCAGGCGGTCAGGAGCACGCCTGTAGCTTCTCTGGGAATGAGCCAAGGACACCTCTGAGTCCTGCTGCATGACTGCCAGGGCTCAGGGCTGACGAGCCAGGCCTACACACTGGGCAGGAAGTGGGCGGCCGCTGACCCCTGACCCCACAGGGCATCCTGGCCACCTAAGAGGAGCTCCTGGGGAAAGCTCCACTTGGGCCCAGGCGCAGATCTCCTGACCCGCTGGGCCACGGGCTGTGATCCTCCGCAGAAGCTAAAAGGGGTCCTTCCAGGGCCTCAGCAGCCCTAGCAGGGAGGCAAGGAGCCCAGGGAGGGGGTGCTGTGGGGTCGGTGGCAGGATCTCCAGGCTGTATGTGTGGCTCGGCTGCTGCGGGGAAGCTGCCCACCACCCACAAGGGCCTCTGGCCCCCATGATGTGGACCCTTAGAAGAGTCTAGGCTTGCGTGTGGCAGGCTGCCCCAATCCTGGACTGGACTGACTGCTTCCTCAGGGGCCGAATCAAGTAAGCGTCTCCGGCGGTGCTGTGCATGAGCTTTCTGGAACAGAACTGCTCTGGGGGCAGCAGCAAGCCCAGCGGGGGAGCCCAGTCGGGGCGCTGGGACTGTCGGGAGGCGGGCGGGAGGGCCTGGCGTGCTGCTCAGAGCTCTAGAGGAACCAGGCAATGGGTCTCTGCACTGAGAGAGCTGGGAGGGATGTTGCCAAAGGCGCTTCCCAATTCCCAGTGCTATTGCAACGCGGCTCACACCAGGGCCCAAGACCAAGGGCAGGCTGCTGGGCTGGGGGGCTCGAGCCCCAGAGGAGGCAGATCCACATGGACCATGTGGAGCCCCTCCAAGATATGTGGAGAAAAACACTCTCCCATTTGGGTTCAAAAGGGAAAATAAATCCCAGGCCCCCTGCAGGGAAGGGAATAAACTTTCACCTTTGATCATACGTACTCTGGACTGCTCTTTATTATTATTATTATTATTATTATTGTTTTAAAGTAAGCTCTAGGCCCAATGTGGAGCTTGAACTCCTGATCCTGAGATTGAGAGTCACATGCTCTACTGACTGAGTCAGCCAGGCACCCGTCTTTCTTTTTAATCGTGAGTGTATGTTACTTAGTAATAACAAAAAGATTTTTAAAGCAACTAGGAAAATACCTAGATAAATTACAATGTATCCACAGAACTTACTAGTACGTCCAAGACATAGCATTTCATGGGGAAAAGTATTTGGCAGGAAGAGTCTACAGAATAAGATCCTATTTGTAAACCACTTAATTAGTTACCTAATTCTAAAATGCATACACTGATAGACGCATGGGGAAAATTGGGGAAAAATCCCTTGCTGGTGACAGTGGGTTTGGAGGTAACTGACAGAGGCTTTTCCGTGCCTACATTACACACACTGCGAGTGCACAGAGGAGTCCTCGCCGTGCAGTATTTCCAGGTGGGTACTTGTCATCCTCCCCGTGACAAGTATAAAAAAGCAGAGTTTGCTTTCGTAATAAGAAAACACTTAAAGATCAAATCAACGAGCAAAGAAAAACGTAACTGGAGTCGTGGACACAGCGCAGCAACTCGGGGCTACAGGGAAGGGGCCGTGGGGGGTGGGGGGGAGGCAGGGCCCAGCCGGCGGGTGCCGGGCCCGCTCACCTTGTCCTTGAAGTCTGTGTGGTTCTGCAGGATGGCGCGCTGGTAGGTGCCCGTCCGCACGTAGTCCTGCATCATGTTCTGCTGCTGGGACAGGTAGCCATAGAACTGGAACAGAGACAGGCCAGTGGCACAGGGCACGTGGCGGCGCAGACGGCCGAGGCCCCGGCTGGCCCTGCGACAGAGGAGGGCCCACCTGGGGCACGAACCTCCCTTGGGAGGCTGCACCCCCTGTGCTGAGCCGGGCCCCTGCTGGCAGCTGCCGACCACTCCAGGAAAGGCCCCCGGGAAGGCCACCGCCACCGTCACCATGGCCAAAGTATGCAGCTGCATGCTGCCTGGACCTGGACGCCACCCAGGAGAAGTCAAAATTTGCCCCGGGAGGGGTTCTGGGATGGGGGGGCCGCCTGCCCCATCTTAGGGTCCCCAACGAAGCAGAGTTGTCGATCAAACAGAACCCTAGAACTCAGAGCGCCAGGCAGGTGAGGTGCTGCGGGGTCTCTCTGTAAGACAACGGGCGAGCGGGAGGCAGCGTGGCACCTGGGCCGGGGCACAGGCTTTGGCATCAGGCAGACCTGGCTTCCCATCTTGGCTCTGTTGCATAATAGCTGTGTGACTTGGAGCAAGTCACTTAACCTCTCTGAGCCTCAGTTTTCTCATCTGTAAAATGGGGACAATAATAGTGCTTACCTCCTAGGGCTGTTGGGAGGATCAAGTGTCTCTGTGCGTGTCAAAGCGCTTAGACCAGTGCCTGACCTGCAGCACAGGTTCGGTATAACCGTGCTGTTGTTACTCAGGACGCCCGTGGGCCTGAGCTGCACCTGCACTCACATTCTTCCAACAACCCTCCTAGGCAGGCCCTGGTATCTCCATTTCACAGATGAGGAAATTGAGGCCCAGCAAGTGAAGGACACCTGCCCAAGGTCACGCGGCTAGTAAGGGGCAGAGCCGGGACAAGAACCCAGGTGGGCCCGCCCTGTGCTGCGTGGCCTCCCAGGGGTCACCCGGTGGCGACAGCCTGGCCGGGGCGGGGGGGGAGGGTGCGTGCAAGTACCCACCTGGAAATACTGCACGGCAGAGGACTCCTCTGTGCGCTCGCTGAACACCGACCGCTCCAGGGTGTGGCCCCGACAGGTTTTCAAGATGTTATAGAAGGAACAGAAATCTGGAAGGGGGAAGCCAGGTCACGCGTGGGCATCTCGGGGAGCGGTCTATAAGTGCACAGCCCGACTCCTCTACTTTGAGCACTCGTGCTTGGCGATTTCTTTTTCCCAAACACAGTGCTGAAACTGACGAAGAGGAAGAGCAGCCAAACCTGCCACTTGGTGGCCGGCACAAGAAGGCTGGTGTCCTGCACGCTGGGCGAGCGAGCTCCGCGCGGCCGGTGGGGCCAAAGCCTTGGGAGGACGCACGCCGGCCGAGCCAAGGTCAAGGCTCGCGGGTCTGTCCCAGCCAAATAATCGCGAGCCCACCCGGGGTCTGTGTGGGGTGGACCGGGGTGGGGTGGGGGCTGAACAACAACGTAAAGATATTTAATACCCCGGAACCGTACGTTCAAAAATGGTTACGAGGGTGAAGTTTATTATGTGTATTTTAACACAGTGTTTTCAAAGGAGAACAGTATTTGTAAGGCAAGCAGTCTGGGAAGATGAAGAAATCTTGGAGGAGGACAGTGGGGATGACTGCGCCACAGCGTGAGTGCACGGGAGGCCCCCGCGCTCTACACTCAGAAAGGGTTAAAGTGGTACATTTTTGCAACGGGTACTTTACCTCGATTTAAAAAAAAAACTGACAGAATTAAAGGGGAAAAAAGTCAACTCTAAATATTCATCGAGTAGAACCAGACCGGCAGGACTTACACCGGCTCGTGATGCGCACCCCCGGGGCGGGTGTTAAAGGCAGACTTGGGGTTGTTTATGCAAGGAAGGACACGGAGCTGAGGAAGACGGCCTCTGCGGGGAGGTGGCCCGTCACCTTGCTCCCCCACCGGGGGCACCGGGACAGCCGAGGGGGCTCCCGGACATCGGTGGTGGTGACCGGGCTGCTGCACCTTCATGAGCTCTCCAGCCCCAGGCGCCCCGCCACCTCCACTGCCGACCCCCACGAGCCACCAGCAGTGGCCTGGAGCTCGACAAACCCTCCTTAGGAACCGCCTATGTCCACTTGGGAGCCCGAAACGGGTCTGCTCAGAACCCTCCCGTGGCTTCTCTGTGCACTCGGAACAGAGCTCCGCGCGCCTCAGGATCCTGTCTTGCCCCCCTCCTCCACTGCTAGGAGGGCCAGGGCCCAGACACGCGCCCCCCTCCCCGCCACGGGCTCCTCCATGAGGCCTGTGGTGCAGCCAGGTGGCCAGGACAGGCCTCTCGAAGGAACGGATGTATGAGCCGAGCCCAGAAGGACCCAAAGGATTCGGCAAGGGAAGGTCCGGGGCGAAGCGTTCCAGGCGGCGAGAACGTACTCCTCCCACGGACATATCTCCGCACAGGAATCATTTGTGACGGCCTCCTGGGACAGAGGGACGGGCCTCGAGGTCCACCTCCGGCCGTGGCTGGCAGCCTAAGCGGCCTGGCTTCAGGCTCTCTGGCCAAGCGCCGCCAGGACGGAAGGGCCACGTACCGTTTGGTGTGGCGAACTGGATGAGGACGCTGTTGCAGCCCAGGGTGATGATGAAGGACTGCTTGCCCACGCGGCTGCACTCCGTCTCCCGGGACACCGAGCACTTAAACACACACACATCTTCGTCTGCGGGAGGAGGGAGGTGAGCGTGAGCCAGCAGGTCCCAGGGCCGGCCGAGCGAGGCTCCCGTCGGCCAACTTTGGGCAAGTCATGTCCCTGGCCCCCCCCAGAGTCTTCGGGGGTACCCAACAGCCCACCCTGGAAGTACCTGCCACGTGAGCCCTGCCCGCAGGCCCAGGCCAAGGAAGAGGGGACGGCCGAGCAGGCGACAGGGACACAGAGACAAAGCGTGGCCAGTGGACAGGAGGGCTGTCCACGGAGCGACCAAGGCTGAGAGTAAGGTGAGGGGTGACCGGGCGCCGTGGGCCCAAGCAGGACATCCCGGCGGGGCCCCTCTGCCAGGACCTTCCCTCACGGAGCACCTCCTGGGGCCCAGGCCCCGGGTCACCTGGTGGCACTGAGATGGGTCCCCTGGGCCCCGCTGAGGGAGTCTGGCATTAATTCACCAACTCTGCTCTGTTACATGGGGGGATGGTCAGCCTTCAGCCCTGAGCGGGGGTGGGTGGGGGAGAAGAAAGAATTCCCAGAGGTGCCTCTGTTTCCTTCACCCGAGCCCCTTCCCGCTCAGAGTGACGTGGTGCCGTGATTATGAGCGTGGCCCCTGGAGCCAGATGGCCTGGGCCCATGCCCCACCCGCACCGCTCACTGTGGGACTTGGGCAGGTCACTTCGCCTCGCTGAGCCTTGGCTTTCTCACCTGTCAAACGGGGCTAATTGGGGGGCAGGTGCAGGGCAGCACAAGGGGAGCACGGCATCCACAAGCTGCCACCATCACTAGTCCTGCTCCTTCGTTCGACAATTATGTGGCGCTCCCGCCCCCAGCCACACGGTGAAGCTCAGCAGCACCAGAAACAGGACAAACCAATGTGCCACCGAGGCCCTGGGGTGGGGCAGCAGGACCGACACGGCATCTGTGTCGTATTCTTGGCAAAAATGTTCACCCTGGGGCGCCTGGGTGGCTCAGTCGTTAAGCGTCTGCCTTCGGCTCAGGTCATGATCTCAGGGTCCTGGGATCGGGCCCCGCATCGGGCTCCCTGCTCCGTGGGAAGCCTGCTTCTCCCTCTCCCACTCCCCCTGCTTGTGTTCCCTCTCTCGCTGTCTCTCTCTGTCAAATAAATAAATAAAATCTTAAAATAAATAAATAATAAAAACTATAAAACTTCTAGAAGGAAACAGAGTCTGAGTAAATCTTCCTGAACTTGGATTTGGCAAAAGATTCCTAGGGGTGACATCAAAAGCAAGAGCATCAAAAGCAAAACTAGATAAACTGGACATCAGAACTGAAACTTTTTGTGCACCACAGGACACTGTCAAGAAAGTGAAGACTAGGGTGCCTGGGTGGTTCAGTCGTTAAGCGTCTGCCTTCAGCTCAGGTCATGATCCCAGAGTCCTGGGATCGAGCCCCGCATCGGGCTCCCTGCTCAGCGAGGAGTCTGCTTCTCCCTCTCCCTCCACCGCTCCCCTTGCTTGTGCTCTCTAACTCTCTTTCAAATAAATAAAACCTTTATTAAAAAAAAGTGAAGACCATCTACAGAGTGGGAGAAACGATTTACAAATCATACACCTGATAACGATATTGTCCAGAATATATAAAGAATTCATTCAGCTAGAAGATAAACACCACAATTAAAAAATGGGCAAAGGACCTGAATGGACGTTCCTCCAAAGAAGATACAGGACTGGCTAACAAGCACATGAAAAGATGCTCAAACCATGAGTCATCAGGGACATACAAATCAAACCACAAGGAGACACCAGTTGACACCCACAAGGATGGCTATAATTTAAAACAAATAGGGGAAAATCACAAGTGTTGGCACAGACGTGGAAAGACTGGAACCTTCACACCCTGTGAGGGACATGGGAACGTGAAATGGTACAGTCACTGAGGAAAAGCAGCTGGTGGTTCTTCCAAAAGTTAAACATAAAATTACCATCTGACTCAGCCACGCCACTCCTGGGTATGTACGCAAAAGAACCAAGAGAAGTAGTCAAACGAATACCTGTATGCAAATACTCGAAGTAGTACTATCTTCAAGAACCAAAAAGTAGAGGGTGCCTGGGTGGCTCAGTTGGTTGAGCGACTGCCTTCGGCTCAGGTCATGATCCTGGAGTCCCGGGATCGAGTCCCGCGTCGGGCTCCCTGCTCGGCAGGGAGTCTGCTTCTCCCTCTGACCCCCCTCCCTCTCATGCTCTCTGTCTCAAATAAATAAATAAAATCTTTAAAAAAAAAAAAAAAAAAAGGAACCAAAAAGTAGAAACAACTCAAATGTCCGTCAACTGATGGATGGACACACAGAATGTAGTCCATGCAATGAAATGTTATTCACCCATAAAAAGGAATGAAGTCCCCGGGTGCCTGGCGGGCTCAGTCAGAAGAGAGAGCAGCTCTTGATCTTGGGGTTGTGGGTTCGAGCCCCACACTAAGTGTAGAAATTACTAATAAAAAAACCCCAAAACTTAAAAACAACAACAACAAAATGGAATCCTGACAGGCTACAACATGGATGAACCTCAGAGGTATTACAACGAGTGAAAGAAGCCAGACACAAAAGGTCACACACATGTGATTCCATTTATATGAAACGTCCAGAATCAGCTAATCTGCAGAGACAGAAAGCAAATTGGTGGCCGTCAGGCGCTGGGAGGAGGGAGAATGGCGGGGGCGGGGGGGGGGCTGCTTAATGGATTCAAGGTTTCCTTTTGGGGTGATGAAAACGTTCTGGAACCAGACAGAGGTGGTGGTTACACAATATCGTGAATCGACTAAATGCCACTGAATTGTACACTTTAAAGTGGTTTGTTTTTGTTAGGTGAATTTTATAATTTTATCTCCATAGAAAAAGAAAAACGCTCCCAGTGCATGAAAAGAGATATGAAGGGCCTATGGGTGTTCCCTGGCTCCCCCGCTCTCCCCTTGTGCAGTCTGAGCACCGGACCTGGGCCCAGCCCGCCTCACCCCTCCAGAGCCAGGTGCCCCCCCTTCTGGGAGGAAGGCGTGGCAGCCCCCTGGCCCCAGGCCCGAGAGCAGAGCACACCGGCCGGCCACCGCCACGGGCGCGCAACCGCACCGCACCCATGGGGAGCCCCAGATAAGGTGCTCCCGAGTCCAGCCGTAAGTGGGTCCCGGGAAGGGACCCTGGCACGGTGCCATCACCCACGGCCCTCCCAGGGCAGGAGATAAAGCCAATCTGTCGGCGGCGCCAGGGGAACAGCAAGCACACCAAGGAGGGCCTCTGTTTCTGGGGCAGCCTGGCAACCCGACCAGTCGCCGCCCGAGGCGCCCCCGCAACCTGGCGCCGGGCAGGCGACCACGGGGATCTGTGGCCAAGGGAAGCTTGGCTGCGTCTGGGGAAGCCGGGCCGAGGGTGACCCGACCTGTCCCACCATGGCACAGGCAACCATAGCCCGTGGAGCCTGCCTCTTGTGAGTCACAGCTGTGCCACCCCACAGACCAGTCCCTGGCACACGGGAAGGGCTCAGTAAATATTTGACAAATTAAAAAAAATCAAAAAGCTGGACCATATTCTTCCATGTATTTAAAAGACGCAGAGGGGTGCCTGGGTGGCTCAGTCGTTAAGCATCTGCCTTCGGCTCAGGTCATGATTCCAGGGTCCTGGGATCGAGCCCCGCATCAGGCTCCCTGCTCTGCGGGAAGCCTGCCTCTCCCTCTCCCACTCCCTCTGCTTGTGTTCCCTCTCTCGCTGTGTCTCTCTCTGCCAAATAAATAAATAAAATCTTTAAAAAAAAAAAAAAAGACGCAGAAATCCAAGCTCTTGGAAGGCCCTGCGTGACCCATAAGCCCTCCAGCCCCGCAGCGGGCCAACTCCCGGCCTTGGCACAAGCCTCTTCCCCTTCGCCCACTCTGCCCTCTCACGAGGATGGGCCCTCCGGACAGCGGTGGGGTGGCGCTCTGTCTATCCCTCCCAGGGGACAGCCCACACGGGGCTCCGGCTCACTCACTGCCCAGGGTCCCCCAGGCCCGGATGCAGCAGAGCCGGGATGCACACCCTGTCTGCTGGCCGGCTCCCTGAGATGGGAGGGAGGGGTGTCCTGGGAGAGAGCTTCTCCCCCCCCAGGAAAGAGGTCTAGGGCGTGGACCCCACAGGGCCTGGACCCAGCGGTGACGATTAGGTACCCATTCCCCCACCCCTTCTCTCTCTCTCTCTCTCTCTCTCTATCTCACACACACACACACACACACACACACACACACACACACGAGTGCCTCTGTCTGCCAGGAAACCTCCTGGTAGACTCAAAGGCCGGCACTTTCCTCTCTGGTCCCCCCTTTATCCAGCCATCACTGGGTGAGCCATGGAAGAAGCAGGAGCGACTCTGTGCCCAGCCTCCAGAAACCCACTGAGAAAACCGACCCCATCACACTGGCAGCATACTGAGGGGCTGGGTGCATGGGGCCCAGAGAGGTGGGGGACAGGAAGCGGGAGAGGGCTTCTCAGGCGGCCGTGATGATTTGCGGAGGGGGGTGTGACCACAGGGAGGGCTGTGGGCCCGGAGGCTGCGCTGGGTTCCTGCCGATCGAGGTCAGCGGAGCTGGGGTTTCTTCCCTGCAGTAATATGATCGGGTGACAGAGCTGGGAAGAGGCCCCCTCCCCGGGCTGTCTTCTCTGGAGAGCCTCTCCCAAGGCAGGGTGTGAACGGAGGAGTGCGCGGCAAACACCCCGGACTCGGTATTCATCATGCCACAGACGTGTCCGGCCCACGCTTGGCTCCCCACCTGCTCCACTGCAGGGTGTCCAGCTGAGGCTCCGAAGGCCGGGGACTGGGGGCCAGAACACCCAGGGACAAACACAGGGCCAGCACGCTCAGGGTGTGCCGGTGGGAATGCCGGCGCAGGAGAACCTTCCCGCACCCTGCTCCCCAGGAAGGCAGGCCCCTATAGCTCCGTGTTCCCACTCACCCGCCCACTCACCCCTTGCTTAGACGGGGATAGGGCCAGGACGCCCCACTGCACCAACACTTTCCAGGTGCCACGCTCGGTTCCCT